GATTCAGTATTTTTCCCAATGTAGTGTACATACCCTGTCTGCTGAGTACGCGGGGCGGCGCGGGGTCTGCGTGCGTGTACCCGCCGAAGCTGTGCGACTTGGACCCCCCCGCCACGACCCGCTCGGGGGACCAATGTAGTGTACATACCCTGTCTGCTGAGTACGCGGGGCGGCTCGGGGTCTGCGTGCGTGTACCCGCCGAAGCTGTGCGACTTGGACACCGCGCCCCGCGCCGCGCGCCACGACCCGCTCGGGGGACCGCTGCCTTCTAGGGATTGGACCTGGAAATCAATTCATCTATGTAGAAATCTTCTTCGTTACTGATGTCGTGTTAGCCTGGACGTTTAAATCGCCCGCTTCTCTACATGAGAGTGCCGGCTCGAAACCTACCAACGGCAAGTACCAATGACTAATTTTCCGAGCTATATGTATTTTCTAAGATTATTTAGACACTAGCTGAGCTCGCGTGGAATAGTGATTCACAGCTCTTCCCCCGTAGTTGATAGCATGATAATATGTAGCCTATATGTTGACCCGACCTGTTAGTAATACGTAAATCTATGCAGCACTTTTTGAGTTTATCCCGGACATACATACAGACAAACAGACAAAAATGTTAAAATCCATATTTTTGGTTTCATATCGACTGTAGGTCACGCCAAAAGCATTTTTTTAAAAAAAATATTCGATGTACATTTTTCACTTTCCGACGATTTTATGATATATCTTATCTTATACTATTATATAAAGCGAAAGACTTTGTTTGTTTGTTTGAACGAGCTAATCTCCGTAACTACAAGTCTGACTTGAATAATTCTTTTTGTGTTGGATAGCGCATTTATCGAGGATGGCTATAGGCTATAGAACATCACGGAGTTTCTTGCTCGTTCTTCTCCATAGGAATCTACACTTTGGAATGAGCAAATAGCTTCACTTTTAATATTTTTTGACGTTCAAAAGTGCCATTCTGGCCTAATTGAAATAAATGATTTTGACTTTGACTTTGACACGCTACGACCAATAGGAGCTGAGCAGAGTGGGTGAAACCGCGCGGAAGTAGCTAGTATAGAATATAGATCACTGAAAACGGTGAAGGAGAACATCGTGAGGAATTCTTATAATTTGTAATTATAAGCCTCATTGCCTTTGGTCGCTATCAAACCCGCAGCCTCATGCATAAGAAGCGGGCGTCTTAAACCTCCGTACCACCACGACTCTACGACCGACGTAGCAATAAACAATATTGTAAAGGCCCAAAGGGTCGGACTTCAAGCATATCAATGTGACTTTTTCCATTTCTTTTTTTAATGACGGTAGAAGACCCTTCAAAAGGCGCTTAGCTCTTTTGGGGAGAAAAACTAAGGAGTGTGGGATTTGTACAGCACTAAAACCACCCCGGTGGCCACCATTATCATCTGCAGAAGTAGAAATTAGTAGAAAATGGGGCTAACATAAGGCTTTGTTTTTTTTAAGGGGGGAAAATCATCGAATGATTTCTCCCGCCTGGGTGAGGCGGGAGGGAGTGTCAAACTCTTACTGACTAAAAACCACCCCGTTCCTTCTCCTGCACTTCGAGTCGGAGCCCCGGTTACCCGTTAAGTCTTCCGCGGCTCCGTATCGGCTTCAGCCCTATTGGGCCCCATCCGTGGTGGTATGATGGCTCTTTGAGGCTTAAGGGCAATTTTGGTCCAATCACAGTAGCTGTCAAATATTGAACATCCAATGGCATGACACTAGCTAATTCCCTATTGGTAGAAGAACGAGAGGTTCACACTAGCGCCACCTTGTGAGCAAAAATACGGTAGGCCCCAATATAGTAGTCTTATATTGTAAATTATAGGTGTTTACCTTGAGTAGCTTATTCCTGCCTTCAGCTGTAAGCAGTTTGATAGGACCCGACGTCAACCACGGCCATTGAGCCTCGTCTTGCTGTAAACATATACAAAACTAATTAATATTTCATATTTAAAATATGTATTGTTGATTTTAGTAATTTTCAGCAAAAATTTTTTGAGATATGAGTATGCTGTTTGACGCTAAAAAACGTGACGTCACAATACACAATCTCGTACGAAATTATACAAAACATCACGCCTATCTCCCATGGGGGTAAAAGCAGATAATATGAAGCGCCCATTTAAAAAAAACTAAAGAAATGGCTGGGTGGTAAGAGATTTGAGTCTAATGAAGAAGTCTTTACCAAAACACGCGTATTTTGAGAGCCTGAAGACCTAATATTTGGGGGGAATAAAACAATATTCGAAAAACACTGGACTAAATGTATTAAGCTAAAATGTGATTATGTAGAAAAATAAAATGATTATTTGTCGCAAAAAAAGGTTTTATTCAAAAAGTCACGGACTTATTAAACCGCCTAACTATTTTGGGCTTTAGACAGGTTCGGTGAACGAGTGATCACATGTTGGAACCCCGAATCAAATCATGAGTGACTAAATATTATTAAAAAATCCTCTTACCGAACTGAATATCCTCCGTCGCACCCTCTCGTACTCCTTTTCCCTCTGTTCCAATGACTTGCTCCTGTAGCTGGCGAGAGTGACTCCTGGCTCCTCCAGCGATTGACTGTCTCGCTTCAGGATCGACCTGTCGGAGGTAAACCTGCACTTTGTTATATGTTGTTAGCATTTGTTTATTTGGGGATTTAGGGGGGAAGGGGTAATGTTGTAGAAGACTCCAAGGTGGTAAAATAAGCAGTCGAGTAGAATTGTAAGCGTGTAATCCGAACAATAACAACAACGTTATTGTTTTTGAATGGACCTATATTTAGTATCACTACGTGCTATTGTTATTAATATGTATGTATTAATTTGACTTGACCGTTATTCGAAGCTTATTTAATTGAGATAGGCCTTCCGCTTCCCTCCTTCCGCTTTTCCTATATGTCTATCTCTTTCTACTACGTCACTTCCATTTGGCAGTGGTGGGGAGGCTTGCTAAGAGAGACTCGCCATTTTTATTTCATTGGCGTCTTGTTTCCCGCCGTAAACGGTTGTGCCTTGTGAGTCACAAGACAACCATTCACAAGTTGTGAAACTACCTTCCGATTTTATTATTTCTTTTATAAAAGTGATAAATGTCCTAACGGCTTTTATTACAATTGTAAAAATTTTAAATTAAATAAAGATTATTCTTTCGTTATCTATTATGGAAAATTCAGGTAATAATTGCGATTATTCATGTTGTTCCTGAACACTTCTTCGTATGGAAGTGTCGATCTAAACGTAAGTTTCGAAAACTATCTAAACAGGTACGTAACCTTTAGCAATAGATTGTTTGTACGTGAGTACCATTTTGGACCATGCATTTCTGTCTAATGTTATTGAAAATTTATAAGAATATTATTTTGATGTTGATGACCTGATAAATTGTTTTGAAATTGTATGTCTATCAAAGTGTGTCTTCGGATAAAACTCAAGAGCTGTGCTCCCAACAGAACTGTTGGTTAATTCGGTACAGTCTTGGACTGTATATTGCATACGTGGAATTGCTGACGCGATACCCTATGCTATAGCTATTGCTCAGAAAATCGGGTGGATTTGTACCACTATACGAACAAAGAACGAAGGTTCTGTTCGACTGTTAATAATATTGCACAGTTATTTGTCTGTTGTACCTAATTATCTTGCAAAAGTGAGATGACTATGCAAATATAGAACCGAAGTGCGTTCCTATTATATATTTTGTTGCTTTGATATTAAGTTTGAGTTTAAAGTTAATGGTATACTTGATTGAATATTGTGTGCACTTTAACATGGGATTTTCGGAACCCTTCAAACTGCTAACTGCTACATGTGATATGCTACTTCAAAAGTACCCTTTTTCCACAGGGGATTTTAGTAAGTACCTAGTCTTAAGCGTTATTACAGATTGTTTGCGGTCTGCGGACATCGTTCTGAGATTCTCCTAATACTAAGAGCGCATAGAGGTTTACTGCCGCTGTAGAATAAGCTGGTGGCGTGAGAAAATGTTTTTGGCCATTGCAAAAGGTAAATATTACATCTACCTCGCAGGTAGATCCAAAAGTTTCGAGGCCCGTCGCAGGGGCCACAGCCTTACAAAGTCCTCGCAGGATTTTTGCTCAAGGTTTCCAACACATTAATACACATTCGAATGTGCTAGCAGTATCTCACCTTCGCAAGGTGGTGACAACGGCAATAAACCCGCCTCAGCAAAGTGGTGACAACAGCAATAAACCCGCCTCCGCAAGGTGGTTATATCATATTCATGCTGTTTTTATATATTTCGGTCGCACCGAAAAATTGGAATATCTGTCGGAGTTGGTCAAATCCTCGGCAGAATAAAATTAGCCAAGTCAGGAGCGAAGACGTGTATCATCGCCCCGTCATTGATGCTGCAGCATTGACAACAAACGACGTAAGTATTAACAACAGAGCGGACAGTCTCCTGCAATTGGTAGACCGATGGGAACTTGTGAACGTCAGATTATGATAATAAAAAGGTATCGCATACCCTTTTTACAAAAACTGACCCTGGTTCACCCCAATGTTGTCGGAACGAACTTGTTGAATTGGAACATCTGTTCATCAAACATCTGTTCTAGAATCTCTGACACTCTGTTCAGAAATGACATCAGTCATGAACAAAATAACAGAACAGGTAGTTACGGACCGAGCTACTGAGCAGCCAAGCTTCCTACCATTGATATTTCTGGTCCAAGGGCGACCGCATCGTCCATTTGGAAATTCAGAATTTATGTATCATCTGACCGATTCGTTAATGCACATACGTGTTAAAACACATAGTATTTCACATTTTCTACAACCTGATTGTCTATGCAAAATCGACATTTCTCAGGCGTAGAGTTATTTTTCTGTGGCCCGTAGCCACGGAAGGTTTATGTGCCTAAATTATCGCAACGAATTGCTACGAATGACTTGCTTATCATTAGGCATGAGCGCAGCGCCCAATACTTTTGCTACGATTTTCCCAGACACTGGGACAATGAGGTGTCGGGATTTTTTATTGCCATCAGGACGAAGGCCAACTTCGGACTTCGTATGAAAATTGGGCTCCATGTTCTAGAAAAGTTGGTTTGGCTATTTACACAAAAGTCATTAAGCCAGGGATCCATGGTCAAATCACAAACATTTTCCCGGTAGTAAAATTTCTGGGGTCATTTTGCCATTTAATGCGGAAGAAATGCAAGTCACGCACAGAACTCCAGAGCCTAGTTATATTTGCTGCTTCTGCAGTTTCAAGACTCTAGTCAAGAAAAAGACTCTACTTTCAAGCGTTTCTGAACCTACAAGAATAAAATCTTAAAGGGCGATCGCAGATGGGTCTTCATTTTACCTCATGTGAACAATCTTGTGTGGGAGGAGCCAGAATTATCATCTTCTGTCGGTCCTACACATGCTACTTCTACCTTCTCATTCCCAGCAGCTTGCACAATGTGTCAGATATTGCTAAGGGAGCTTACCTGGGCAATCTCTTTCTCCTGGGTCTCTGGTCAGAGCACGAGAAAGATCGTCATAGTAGCCAATCCTGAAATAGACTGGTTTGATATAGGACGACATCAAGTCTATCGCATATATCCGTTACAAAAGGGGGGGGGGCACCAAGTGGCTCCACTCCTGGATTTAAACCTCCGTTTCCCATTATACGTTCATATGCGTTAACATACACGTATTTCATGTACCAGATATATAATGTACAATGTCAAGGCAGATCATCTGTTGAGGTTTGTGAAACTTTAGAGAGCACCAGCTGTCAGCAGAATGCACAAACCAAATGGTCTCCATATGCGAAGTTCCACTGATCAACTTATTTGCGTCATACCGAGTACATGTAGTGACATTTACGTGCCTTTATATCAAAACTACGGACAAGCCCTGTTTGGCGACGCGTTTTTTCCACATATGGAAATGTTTTAAACCCAGCGGGGGAGTTCTCTCCAAGCTTTTTGATTTCTTAGGTCCTGGATTATTTCAATCAAGCACACAGAACGTGCCTACTAGTAGTTCCTTAATGAGGGCGAGTTTTTTGGCGTGTCTCGCTTGCCATAGTACCCCGCTTCTTTACGCTTTATCACCTAGACAAAGTCCTAATTAAGAACAAGGCGGCCACCACCGAGCGTCTACGACATGACCTTGGAAGTGTGGAAACGTGAGATGTCTGGAATACTATTAAAATGATATTCTATACAATTGAAATCTCTTAAGAAATCATGGCGTCCGTCAATACGTTAAATCTATAGTGCAGTCCTCAAAAGGTTGCACCGCACCGGGGGGGGGGGGGACCCTCAGCTCCTATAGCAAGACTTTTGACTACATTTTTATCTATATCGGATCTCTATTGAATCAATAATTTGTCGTACAATTAAAATTTGTCACAAAAATCTGTGGTTGCTGTCCTTTGTTAACCAGAACCATATGTCGTTTAGCATGTATTGTTAAAAACTATACAATCAGTAACATTAATTTAACTTATGAACTAACACATCAGTTAGGTACTTATATTTGAGATTAACTGACTGTGTAAAACATGTTGTAAATGGTGATTGATCATGTCAATCCCCCTGTTTGGGTCATAAACGATCTAGCTAGATTCTTAGACAGTAAACTTATTAATAGTCTTTCAAGTGCAGAGACAAACAGCTGTTCCATTTCTCCTATACTCCAGGAAAAGATTCCATGACCTAACTTTCCTCGATATTGATACTAATAATTACCATAATCATAATGACGTAGACGTACTAGTTTTTCGGTCGGCTTTTAGATCAAAAACTGATTCTGTTGATTAAATGGATAATAATAAATTAGCTTTCACGCACGACTTTGCCCGTGTATTTCTACCATGGGAGCATTTAATCGGGATATATCACCGAAGTCGGCCCATACCCAGCCTGTATACCAAATTTCTAAAGCTCAGATCCAGTCCAATGGACTAAGCATACCATAAGAGGCATAACTTAATGGCGTAAGCTGTGATGTTATGTGTCAATTTTGAAAATAATGCAAATTTCTTAAACCGACATAGAAAAATTTAATTGCGGTCAGGATAAAGTTCCTTCTTGGTGGTAACCGATATTAAGATATCAGTAATCCCCCAAGATATCCTGAGGGTTTCAGATCAGCTGTGATCTGAAAAAATTTAGTGGATAGTTATCCTTTTGAGGCGATCCTTTCTAAGATGTGTGTGCCTTTGTATGTCACCTTTTTATTCAATACAGACGATTAGAAAATTAGAAACGAGGCAATAAAATACCTCAGAAATATATAACATCTGTTTTTGTTCAGATCAAATACAATTATTATTGAAAAAATTAAAAATAACAGGTTTTCTATTCAATACCTTTCATCAAAACATGTATATGTTTTTAGATATTTGCTATTTTTCTTAGTTTTTCTATTCTGTGATTTTACCACATCATACCAGGTAGTACGACTGCGGTCAACGCAGTCATACTACCTCACATTGGCGTCTGTCACTTCCACCAGGCGATAACAAACACGTCTCAATTAAATAAGCTTCGAATAACGGTCAAGTCAAATTAATGGAAGCGTTTTACCTACCAATAAAACGCATATTAATTTACTTGCCTTATTCGAAGCTTATTAGTCAAGCTCTGCCTGGTAATGAGACTCAATGAAATAAAAATGGCGAGTCTCTCTTAGCAAGCCTCCCCACCACTGCCAAATGGAAGTGACGTAGTAGAAAGAGATAGACATATAGGAAAAGCGGAAGGAGGGAAGCGGAAGGCCTATCTCAATTAAATAAGCTTCGAATAAGGTAAGTAAATTAATATGCGTTTTATTGGTAGGTAAAACGCTTCCACTATAATGTAATTTTGTTCTTGTTTTAATTATTTATTTTGATTTTTAGCAGTAATCGCTTCTGCTGATTTTGTTTTCACTTTTATATTAATTTTATTATTTACATCATGCTGTGCTCCGAACAGCGTTACCGTAGGTGTAAAACTAGTACGTACTACTACGGGCTGGTGCTTAAAATCAGCGCCGTGGACTCGAGCCTCTGTGCCCGGTCCACGGTATTGAGCTGAGCTCCAGCCTTTTGCGCCGCGACGCACCATGGGCTTTTTGTGTGTACCTAAATTCTTGCTGTGTGTCGTGGCGAAATAAATGGTTTTTCTATCCTTCTTTCTTCTTTCTAACAGTTCGATGAGGGGTTACATAAATTACAATAAAATTAACCGCAAATTCGCCTAACGTGCGTTCGTTCGCATCATTAGCCAGTCGAGTGTAATTGCTTTTCTAAAAGCAGTAGGCGTTCCGACTGATGTATTCCCGAAGAATATGTTCATCACCACCGCTGCTGATTCCATGGGTGTCGTATACCCTAGTAAGGTACTTAACATTTTGAGAAAATGAGTAGTGTTCTCTGATTAATCTGAACCTTTGATAATTTTGAAAAATCTACATCATAGTAATAGTAGAAACTATATTTATCATCCCACATGTCTGTCTGTCGTGGTGGCCCAGAGGTTTAAGTCGCCCGCTTATCATATATGAGGGTCCGAAACCTATCAACGGTTAGTACCAATGTGACTTTTTCCGAGTTATATGTATTTTCTAAGATTATCTATACACCACTGACAAACGGTGAAGGAAAACATCGTGAGGAAACCTGAACTTATAATTTGTAATTATAAGTATGCCAACCGGCATTGAGCAAGCGCATCACCACGCTTGCTCGCTTCCATGTTCAAACCTCTGTATGAGAAGAAGCCTTTGGTCACCAGTGGACACCTATAGGCTGTTGATGATGAGTTGACATAAGACAATTGGTGAAATATTATACCTTTGCGAAATGTCAAAACTGCACTATTCCCTGTTATTTATTTTTTTCTACTTTTTTGACTGCCTCCTTAGCCGAGTGGTCGCAAGTGGGCGACTGCTGGCAAAGTATTCCTGGGGTTTTAAATATTCTCAGTGGTAGCACGGAGTCTAGAATTGTGCCCGGTAAGCGGCAATAGGCTCACCCCCTATTACATGGGACTCATAACATAAATAGTGGAAAGTGGGTGTTATATTGTACAGTGGCATTAAGTGCCGTAATGTGCTCCTCTGCCTGAATAGGAAACTAATTATAAATGTCTTATCACATATCCTCACTTTAATATTATAAATCAGAAAGTGAGTTTGGTTGTTCCGCTTTCACGCCGTAACTACTAAACCGATTGCTTTGAATTTTTGCAGACGTAACGTTAAAGTCCGTATTAAATAATAGGGTACTTTTTATCCCGGAAAAAATTGATATTACCGAGGGAAAACAAAAGTATTGGTATAGATGGCGCTGTATGTATTGGTATATGGCACATAGGCTACTTTTTATCCTTTTGTGACATGAGCGAAGCCGCGTGTAAAAGCTAGTCCTTCCTAAATTAAAAGTAGCCTAAACATCAGTACATAAGGGTGATATTTACTTGGCATGTGTCGCGTCGGGTTGGTGTCGCTGTGGACTGGGCGGGAACTGAACCGTGCACCACTCCTTGAAACTCGTACAGGGAATGCGACCGCCAGATGTGCCTGGGGGAAAGAAAATAGATAGTTAAGAATAAGTTAAATGAAAAGTGAACTACATTAAAAAATAAACCAACTTTAAATTTTGAAATGGGCACATTGGTGAATACTTGTTTAAAATAATTTTCAATTATACTACCTGCATGTTCATTTCCTTTATCTTAAGTTATTTTTATTATATTTTTAGTAATACCCACATTCTTAATGAATTGGCTATGTGAAAAGCGAGTAGTGGCGGACAGATAACGACCGCAGCGCACAACACGGCAGAAATTGGAAACAAATGCGGATGACGCAAACCCAGTTTTATTATTATATTCATTTTACCGTAAAACTATTGAATAAATTGCACTTAAATAATGTCAACAATACTATTTTAATCTTTGGTTTTATTTATATTTGCAAAGAAAAATTATAATGTTTACATTGTTATTATTTGACAGCTTCCGCAAATGTTGTAAACGCTACGCGTCGCCACCGTCGCGCACATAGCCAATGCGGTAGCTGACAACTAGTCAAATTAAATACTTTTATCGAAACGTCAAAAACGATACTCTTCTATGAATTTTGTACGAAAAACTAACTTATGACGTCATCATATTTTTGCGTCAAATAGCACACTTATATCTAAAAAAATTATAGAATAAATGGAAAATTAAGTATATCGGCAAATCAATAATAATAATAATAATAATAATTTTTTATTCGCATAAAACATGTGTATAACACACACACACACGTAGGTGCATATATGTTAGATGACAATATTTTTGTAGTTGGGCTTTATACATGTTTGCCACTTCGTCAAGGCATGCAAATTTTCACAAGTTTGGTTAAGAAAATAATATTATGTACTGCTTCAGATTAAATAACATTTCAAATAATTACAAAAATATTGAACATAATCTAGTAATATTTCAGTATGTCAGTTATAATACTAAGGTCAAGAAAGTCATAATAACATGTCAAAATTAAAACGCAAATCAAAAAGTCATTATACCAGTCGACTGAAAAAACAAAAACAACAATGGAAAAAAAAAAATTAAATTAAATAATTAAAAATTATATATAAATGTACAATATTCATTTCATAAATAATACATGGAGAATTCATTCAATTAGGTAATTTATCTTTTAAGAAATCGGCTAGGGAATAGTAACATTTATCTACGAGCATTCTAGTGAGGCTTTTTTTAAATTTGTACAGCGGTAGCTCTCTAATGTTAAGAGGTATTTTATTAAAAACAGTTGGTGCCATACAGATGACCCCCTTTTTCATCAATGCTGTATTATATGCTCCCGTGTACAACAAACTTCTATACTGGGATCGCAATGTGTTATTTCTTTTCCTAGTGTCATTGAAGGTTGAAAACAGATGCTTATTTGTTTTGACAAATATGGCTAATTCTAGAATGTACAGACATGGAAACGTTAACAATTTATTACTTTTAAATACAGGAACACAGCTATCTGTTACTTTTAAGCCAAACATAGATCTAAGGCAACGCTTTTGACATTTAAAAATGCTCTCCCTTTCACAACAATTGCCCCAAAACACTACACCGAATCTCAGGAGCGAGACAACCAAACCATGATACGCCACTAGTAACGATTTAGTGTTAATCTTTTTTGACATAATGTGCAACGCATAAGCGGAAGAGCTAACTCTTTTACAGATTTCTTCAGCATGAGCTTTCCAGTTGAGTTGACTGTCAATTAAGATTCCCAGAAATTTCGTCACATTTACCCCGTCAATTGTCTGTCCGTTGTAGCCTATGTTCATTGCTTTGGGAAGAATTCTCTGGTAGAAGTGCATAATCTTTGTTTTTTGAACATTTACTACCAAGTTGTTGTTATTGAGCCAGTTTACAACTGTGTCAAGGGTTGTATTGATGTCACTTTCATATGTTTGTCTATTTCTACACTCTATTAGCAATGTGCTATCGTCAGCAAATAGCACCATAGGTTGAACGATTTGTCGCGGAAGATCATTGATATATAATAGAAATAACAAAGGACCGAGAACACTACCTTGCGGAACTCCAAACTTTATTTCTCTAGTGGATGATTTATACTTTATTTCATATTTGGTGATTGTGTCAATTTTTGATATCTCTGTATATTGTTTCCGGCCACAGAGATAAGATTTTATTAAGTTCAATGCATTTCCGCGAATCCCGTAACCATAAAGTTTACCCAAAAGAATCCCATGATCTACGCAATCAAATGCCTTTGACATATCAGTGTAGATGGCACATACCGGTTTTTTAGCGTCTACGTTTGGCATTATTTTACTCAAGAAGTCAAAAAGTGCCATATTTATATTTTTATTTTTTCTGAAACCGTATTGCTCGTCACATAATATATCATATTTTAAGGTAAATTTGTAAATATATTCATAAATGATTTTTTCCATAACCTTAGAGAACACCGGGATCAATGCGATGGGTCGATAATTAGCCATTTCTTCTTTGCAGTTCTTTTTATAAATTGGCTTTATGACAGTCATTTTAAGATGTTCGGGAAAGATTCCATTAAATATACACAAATTTATAATGTGGCTCAAAGGGTCGGCTATACCCGCAGAAACAAATTTAATTACCTTTGTTGAGATGTTATCATAGCCAACGCTTTTTTTGTTTTTCAGAGTTCTTATCACGCGAATGATATCCTCGGGTACAGTTGGGGGCATGAATATTGAGTCGGGGTAGTTATTAATTTTGGCCGTGTTCTGCGAACCATGTTTTGGCATACTCATTACTTGGTCTACAAAAAAATCATTGAAGGCTTCCGCTATGTCATTAGGATCCGTCAAAGTAAGTCCGTGGTGTTTTATTTGAGAAATAGGTTCGGTTACAGTCTTAGTGTTATTTACAATTTGCCAGGTTGTTTTTGATTTGTTATTTGAATTAATGATTAGGTGATTGTTTTGAGCCTTCTGAGTCAGTCTTACAATTTTTTTTAATCTTTTCGAATAAGTTACCAGCTCATTTTTATTTTCTACCGTTGGTTGACGTCTATGTTTCCAGAATAACTGGCGTTTTCTTTTACTGCAGATTCGTATGCCTCGTGATACCCATTTAATTTTTTTTTCGGATCGCATTGTTAATATTTTGTATGGAAAGCATAAGTCATAAAGAAGTTTAAACATGTCAATAAAGTTGTCATAAGCTACACTAGGGTCTTCTGTATTATACACGTCGGCGAATGTCAGGTTGCTCAGGTGAACTTTAAATTTAATTAGATTTTCCATAGATATATCTCGAGTTTTTGTTTTCCATGTTTGTATTTTAAAGAACCTACTAACTTTTAATTTTAGAATTTGGGCTGAGTGGTCAGATAGCCCGAGCTCTATAACCTCACACTTACATGTGTTTTTAGAGTTGTGGGCAAAGTTGTCTAAGCAGGTATTACTTATAGGTCGGGTGGGTTCACTGAGTCCTAGTTTTAGATTGTAGTTCAAGAGAAAGCATTTAAAATCATTAGTAATTCGATTGTTTGTTAAAATATCTATGTTAAAGTCTCCACATAAAACTATTTTCTTATTACGCTTCGTACACATAGTTATTAATATAGCATCTAAGTTTTCGTAAAATCTGTTTAAGTTACATAATTTAGGCGGTCTATACACACAGATAATAATTGTCTCCTGGTAACTAAGTTCAATGGCACAACACTCTAAGATTCCTTCTATCGACAATTTCATTACGTCAGGCAGTTCTGTGAATTCATATCCATTTTTTACTAAAATACAAGCGCCACCGCGTTTAACACTTTTTCTAGCATAACATGCTGCGAGTCTATAGTTAGGTAAATTTAACACACTTTCCTGGCCAGACATAATGAAGTGTTCGGTTATACATATAACGTCTATGTTTATTTGTTTGGCTAGCAATTCCTGTACACTTATAGTTAGTAAGTCTGTCTTATTTATAAGTCCAGCAATATTTTGATGCATTACATTTATACATTCAGAGAAAAAAATCAGTACCTGCAGAATGCATCTTTGGGCTATCACTATCTACTTCATTCTGTAATCTACTATTCCCTACCAATGGAATCAAATTATGGAAAATATTTCTCATACCTCTATTGTTTAATCTTCCACTGTGTCTAGAAAACATGGTAAAATCATAGTTTAAGCCTAGATTCGAGTCCAACACTGTCACGTAGTCGAACGTTTGTAGATCCAAATCGAGAAGATTATTAAACGTTTCTATACGCCAGTTAAACATTAAGTAATTTCCCAATTTAAATGTTGGCACACATAATATAACATTGGTGTGTTGTACTTTTTGCAGTGTCTTTCTCATGTCAATAACTAAATCAACGTAGTTTTCTGTTCTTTTAAAATCGTCTTCTCCAATAAATATTATGCAACAGTCGTTCATCGTGTAATCCAAAGTCTTCTGGTGTAGGTTGCGAATTAACTGAAGTATTCCACAGTTAGGTGACAGATAGTGACATATTTGGTGGTTCGGGAATGTCTCCTCAGCTATAGCTAGCACACTGTTAGTTTTATTTGAACTTACAATACATAGTTTACTGCTTTTTGGTTTAGACTTAGAGTTACATTGGCTTTGCTTTTTGTGGGTACAGTCGTGTGAAGTTTCTGTCGAATGCCTTACATGTTCTGGTTTGCGTTCCAATAGCATAGGGGTATAATGTTCCCTAGCATGTTTGTTCTGTGCTCGGGAAGTCTTTCGTGGGGTTGACATCGTTAACGTTTTGATAGGGCTCTTAGTTCCATTTAAAAGTAGTTTTGAAGCTTCTTTAACAACGTTGTATTTTGATGTCAATTCATTTACAGTTTTTTTAAGTTCACTATTTTCTAGAGATATATTATTTATCTCCTCGTGAGCTGAGGCTAATTGAGCAGTGACATGTTCCAGTTGTTGTTTAAGTTCCTGTATTTGCATTGTATGTTCATTACACGATATGTCAGGTAAACTACAGGTGCTGCCATCTATCTTTGAATGATTAGCACTAGTTTCCTCGTCTGATTGGGACATGGATTGTGTCCGAGTTTTTCTAAACGTTATATTTTCGAAAAAATTCATTTTATATTAAATTTCGTTAGAACAGATCAATAAACTGCACAAAAAGAACTTTCTTGTGCAATGAATGAAATATTTTTGTAAATATTTTTCAATATTTAATTGGACTGCAAAATCATAATAATTTAATTTTGACTCAGGAAACTACCCAATAGGCTCACCCCCTATTACACGGGACTCATAACATAAATAGTGAAAAGTGGGTGTTACATTGTACAGTCGTATAATGCGCACCTCTGCCTACCCCTTCGAGGATAAAAGGCGTGATGTTATGTATGTATGTATGAAACTACCCAATTATATATTTTAGTAGAAAAAAAATAATGTAGGTACCACTTTAATGATCATTTGAAAGATCTTGACAGCTGTAGTTAGAGATGTGAATCTACAAATAATTATTTTACTATGTTTTTATAATAACTATCGTGAGACATACTAAATTAACTAAAAATCGCGGGTTACTCACGTGAATATACAGTAGGCTGCGCGACGTCGCCACGACCGCGCACGCTGATCATGAGGAAGAACCCCTCTGTGGTTCGAAACTAGTAGAGCTTTTCTCAGTATATTCTCGTGAGTAGCCCGCAATTTTTAGTTAAATTATTTTACCATTCATTAATTTAGTAGATTAGTAATAGATTAAATTTATTTCGTTCATTTTATTTATGTAAGATTCGTAGCAGTGTCTGCCTACCCCTATGAGAGACAGGTGTGAAGTTATGTATGTATGTACCCTGTAAGAGGTATCAAACAACATACCGCTCTTAGAAACCAGCACTGAAGTCTTGTTGGTCATATCCAGGTGATGAGAGAGCTGGAACAGAGCGGCGCAGCGGTGTACCAGCATGCGGCCGTACGATGTCATCACCGGGAACCGAACTATGCAGCGACTGTTGACAAACACAACAACAATATAATAAGTTAACAATAACACTTTGTATAGGAACTGTTGGGAGAGAAATTAGGGATGGATATGAGTCCCGGTGTGGCTTGAAACTGGTTGAGTTTTATTAAGAGTTCTGACTAAAATAAGTTCTATGTAAATTGGTTTTAGGCCTTTTGTGTGGGAGAGCCATGCTGCGGCATGAATGGGCCGGATCGACCGCAGTGATACCACGACCTCTCAGAAAACCGACGTGAAGCAACGCTTGCGTTGTGTTTCGTCGTGTGAGTGAGGTTACCGGAGGCCCAATTACCTCTCTCCTCAGAAATCCCTGAATCACTAACAATCCTCAAATTCCCAATTCACAAAAGGCCGGTAACGCACTTGTAGTGACTCTGGTGTTCTGTGTGCCATAGGTGACGCCGATTGCTTACCATCAGGTGATCCGTCTGCTCGTTTACCGACTTATCCCATAAAAAATACTTGAACTTTGTCGTATGTGGATGCCTTTATAAACCACAATAGGGTAGTTTCCTAAATTTTATTATGTCCATCTGGTACATGTATTTAAAACCTTAGACACGTATTTTTTCTTTTCTCATAAAATTAAATACTTTCGACGATATATTAATTTGAAATATCGTGTGACGTCACAGCGTGCCACATTTTGTAGCACATTATGACGTAACAACCTCCCACTCCTAAACTTAGCGCCATTTTATCTAAGTATTGCAACTTAATATGAGAAAAAAAAATACGTGTCTAATATTTTTTCATTATCTAACTGACGGACTTTTTAGATTTTTAATTTTAAAACCTTGTAAACTACCTAATTCTTGCGTACATCACAGTTCCAAAGCAATAGTTATAATATCAATATCACGTTTACATTTATTAATGTAATAAATAAACAAACAAACTGGGGACCTACAATATTTAAAATATCACCAATTCCGTAGCGCGTTTCTGTAACCCATCTAGTGAGCGGCTTACTGTCAAGTGATCTGACTGTGAATAAAAATAAAAGAGTCCTGCTTACCCCGTATCGTTGACTAGAGCGTGTAGTTCCCTCTCGATCTTGAGGAGTGCCATCCTGTCCCGCATGTTCTTGTTCAGAGTATCTTTTATGAAGGCGACTAACTCTGGCCCAGTCGGCTCGTAGCGATCGTCTGCAACAAAATCATCGTTTTAACATGTTTCATTATTAGAATATGAACCCTCTGTTGGGTAATGGCCTCTTCTCACACGGAGAAGGTTAGAGTAATAATGTAGTTCATGTTCAAGTGTGGGAGAGCCATGCTTCGGCACGAATGGGCCGACTCGACCGGAGTGATACCACGGCCGAGCAGAAAACCGACGTGAAGCAACGCTTGCGTTGTGTTTCGTCGTGTGAGTGAGGTTACCGGAGACCCAATTACTCTCCCCTTCCCCAATCTCCCCAATCCCTGAATCCTCAAACTCCTAATCCCCAAAAAGCCGGTAACGCACTTGTAACGCCTCTGGTGTTCCAGGTGTCCATGGGCGACGCCGATTGCTTACCATCAGGTGATGCGTCTGCCACGTTTACCGGTTTTATAAAAAAAAAAATGTAGCATATTTCGTGCTCATAAGCTACAGATTCGGTTTGATACCCAGGTCAAACATACATTCAGACATCACTAACATATAGTAAAGGAAAACATTACTAATCATAAGTTTCGAATCGCCAACCCGCCTTGAGCAATCGTGGTGATTAATAATCAAGATTATAATCTAAAAATTACGTAGTCTAGTGCTTAGTCCAATCTAAGACATTAAACCTGGAGTCTTACTTTTGAGTTGCAACACTAGCACCCATGGCATCCGTATTGAGTGGATATTTAATGAACTAAATGGCATTGTATAATTTTGAAATTGAATAATTGGGTACTTGCCTTAATCAAAAATACATTATTTCGACTGTTCAATCCAATAATATATTAAAAAAATAATCACACTTTCAGTAATTGATTTTATGACCAACTTAATTTTAGCATTTCTCCAGCAAATTTTTAAGAAACAAGTATGCTGTTTGACGCTAAAAATACGTGACGTCACAATACACAATCTCGTACAAAATTCATAGAAAACTGTCGTTTTTGACAGTTCGAAAAAAAGTATTGAATTTGACTAGTTGGCTAGTACACAATTATTGAGATTTTATTGGATTCAAATTGCATTGACATTGAGATTGGTTTCACTTTCAAGAGTAAGTAGCCACACCAGGGTACAGGGGATTGCTACCGAGAAATCGCGTTCATTTGATTAATAAGTCAACAAAAGATAAAAAGCTCTTACCGGAATCATTTCTACTAAGCTGTGGGTTCTTCGGTCTTGGGGGATCTGGTTTTCTTTCCGGACATCTGTAAAACAACATTATTTTCGTATAATCATTTTATGAATAAGTTTTTTATAATTATTATTATGTTTTCGACTTACTCGCGTAATAATATGACAAGGAATTCGACTAGTTACAAGCCATGCTAGAGGCTCATATTCATGAGCAGCATGTCGCGACCCGCGACACGGCGACTGTCGCGCCTGACAGTCGCCTGGCATGGCTTGAAACTAGTCGAGTTCCTCGTCAGATAATTACGTGAGTAAGCCGAAAACATAATAATTTATTTAATATGTCTCACGAAAGGTACAATACAAGTTTTCTTTATACTTGATAGGTCGACGTTTGACCTCCATCTCGATTGGTGATAAGCGACGATGTGGCCTACCTATGAGCAACCTGTTCACTCGGGACTTGAAGACACCCACGTCATATTTGTTAGGAAACACAGATTCCGGCAAGGAGTTTCATTCCTTAGCTGTTCGCACAAGGAAGCTTGACGCGAAACGCTTCGTGCGAATGGGTGGAATGTCCACCATATAAGGGTGGCGCCCTGCCGTTCGTCTGGTAGTACGGTAGTGAAACGAACTAGGGGGGAATAAGATAAGGCTTGCGACTGTCACTGTATGTCACTGAATTATACATAATTATATAATAATAAAATCTTACCTGCAATAATGTGGTTCGTCCACATCAAGACTGCTCGATTTTCGCATCGTATCGTTATTAGATGCGCCTGCAAGTAATACACAAATAAAATACACACGGACTCATAACATAAATAGTGAAAAGTGAGTGTTACATTGTACAGGGACATTCAAGTGCCGTTATGTTCATCTCTGCCAGCTTCGGGGATAAAGAGCGTGATGTAATGTAGGTTAATAATTTATCGCTCGGTAGATTTGGCTACAAGAGATAGATTTTGAATATATTTTGTATGTAGCTTAGGTCAAAATTCGACAGGCACTGTATGCAGGTCGCTTGCATCCTCGCGATGCGTAGTCATTGGGGAGGACTGTGGAAGGCAGTGGACAGGACGTGGCTAATATAGTAAGGTAAACCCAAGAAGGTAGCCAATATTTTAGTGTTTGTTAGAAGGTGTTCCCACCTGTGTCATTGTCTGAGGAATCTGGGCAGTCGTCGGGACAAACGATGCCAGAGTCCTGCTTCGTCGCGCAGTAGTGGCGACGGCGGCGGCCCCTGTAACAAATTACAAAATAATTATTATATTATTACATAGTCTCTATTTCTTATTTACTCAAGTTTACGCTAAGTTTTCTAAGCTCAATTGTATTACTTGCGCAAACTTGCGCTAATTTGCGCTAACATGCGCAAAATTGGACCAAACAGCGCATAATTGTACTGCACCAAAATTCTTTTCCAGTTTACTCGCACTAGAAATTTCTCCTGTATCGGGTCGTGGGGGCTTTTACAAACATACAATTTTTGATACACATCACACCCAGACCCGGAACAGTTATTCCGTGTGGGATTTGAATCTGTGACAGGTTGACCGTGTACGGTTGATTCGATGGCTGGGCAACTGGCTGCTGACTATAGTCGATCTTGCAGTAATTATTGTTATATTTGCGCAAGCTTGTGCTATTCATGTCCCTGGGACGCGCCGGACTTCAGAGTTCCGGTGTTTTTATGGTTGTATCTACTATAGATCCTGCCTTACAGGAGTTGCAGCGGTTTCGGGAGGTTGTGGCGGGCTTGTCCCAATTAAGAAGCTTGCGCTAAATACAGTAAGATTTGCGCAACGTACCTGCAATGTACGCAAGCTGTACAGTTGCCACAGACACAGGACACTCGTGGGTTGTTGGACAGCAAGTCACGCTGTGCCTCCGAGTGCCAGCGTCGAGTCCTGTGTCGTTCGGGGTGTGTGTCGTCCCAGCTGCCTGATGTTATCTGTAGCATGTAAAAAAAGGTTGAAGGCTAAATTTTCAAAAAAGTATTTATAGAAGATCATCACACGTAGTAATGGAAGTGATTTATTATTAGATACAATTACTGGCTAAATAAATGGCAATGGGCTCACCCCCTATTACATGAGACTCATAACATAAAAAGTGAAAAGTGGGTGTTACATAGTACAGTGGCATTAAGTGCTGTAATGTGCACCTCTGCCTACCCCTTCGGGGATAAAAGGCAATACTAGTAATATTGGGCAAATCTCTAAGTATACATAAAATTACAGAGGTCGCAATTCCTTGCCAGAAGTGTATTTATCATATATTCGAAACATTTTGCCTACCTAGGGAATTGAACCCAACACACAGCAGTTATACTACCGCAGTAGTAGTTATGCGACCACTTGACCCCTGAGACCTTCCTAAACCTGTTTTTATATAAAAATATATACAACATTTTGAAATGATAAATCACTCACCTGAATCTCAACCGGTAATTTCTTCTTAAATTCATCACTATCACTATGTTTCACATCACTACACCTAACACTAACATGACTAGAGTCCTCACTGACATTCACGCTCACAGTTCTCACATCATTCTTATCCATAGCGCCATTTTTCACGCTAGGACATGAATTCCCGACACTCGGAGATGAATTCCCGACGCTCGGAGATGAATTCCCGACGCTTGGAGATGAATTCCCAACACTAAGAGATGAGTTCCCGACGCTAAGAGATGAATTCCCGACACTTGGAGATGAATTCCCGACGCTTAGAGATGAATTCCCGACGCTTGGAGATGAATTCCCGATGCTAGGAGATGTTGTTACGGAGTTGTTTTTGCCAATATTGTTGATAGGCGTAGAGTTGTTCATGTTAGGCAAGGAGTTTGTGATTTTAGGAGGGGATGGTGTTATGTTTGTGGGGTGGGCAGGACTTAGAGCGCGGGGAGGCGAATGGGTTTCGCGTATCGCTTGACTGCGGACCAGTTGTTTTGATTTGAAACTCTGTAAAAATAAGAAAATGGAAGATTAATTTAAGATCTAAGTTAAGTTGCTCTTAATTATTTTCTTCATTTATATTCTATTTTGCATATTTTTTTACATCGTGCAATCTATTTCTCAGTTTCTAGTTTATCATTTTGTATTAAAATTATAAATTTCCTTGCTGTGCCCGACAGGGTCCACAATGATCTGTATTATTCTATATTACCACCTAAGTAAAACATAGTGGAAATAAAGAATTTGAATAAAGGAGTTTCCAAGTGCAATATGACTTGGTCTTTTGCTAACTGGTAACCTCACTCATTCGGTGAAATAGTCATGTTCATGACCATGGTATCACAAAGTTTTAATGGCCCAATCGAGAAGAAGTATTTACTCATCTCCCACGTAAAAAAGATATTGGGTAGTTTCCAGGGTATCAAAATTAAAAATCTAATTACTCCGTCAGTTAGATAATGAAAATATATTAGACACGTATTTTTTATTTTTTCGTATTAAGTTGCAATACTTAGATAAAATGGCGGTAAGCTTAGGAGTGGGAGGCTGTTTCGTCATAACGTGCTACAAAATGTGGCACGCTGTGACGTCACACAATTTTTCAAATTAAAATATTGTCGAAAGTATTTAATTTCGTGAGAAAAGAAAAAATACGTGTCTAAAGTTTTAAATTAATATACATGACGGACATTACAATGAAATTTAGGAAACTACCTTATTATAAACAAAAATCGAAAAAATTAATCCGCCGATTTCAAGATCAAAAATGATTTATTTGTCCGTACGAGGTATATATTTATTCAGCCTACAATTCGGGCGTGATAAACTTTTAAATGGAAGTTGTAATAATGAAAGCCATAGAACAACATTTTTTAATATTAAAATATTTTAATTTGACGTTCAAAAGAAAAGCATTTTGGTCTAATTGAAATAAATGATTTTGACTTTAACTTTGAAACAAGGTATGTCATATTAAGTGAAAAAAAAAACTACGATATCAATTCGATACTACATTTCATTGAGAACTTTGTGGCGATACATACTTGTCTCAAAGGATGACGTCACAAGAATCCTACATCGCACATGCAAAGTTTACAAGCGAATAAACATGAATAGAATATCCCAACGTGCAACTGTTGGGCAGAAAGCCCGCCAGGCACGTTCACCTCGCCTGGTCGGAGGATCCTCCTTTTCCTATCTAAGGGAACTATACTCTCTGTTCCCTTCCCTAAAACTTTAAACAAGAGCCTTTTTAACTTCATCATACTCATAGCCAGCAGGCTTTCTATCTCAAAATACTGTCTGCATTAAATAAAGCCTATTTTTTGTTTTGAACATTTTCTTTCTTTCTTCATTTCTATGCTATGTTATGCTTTACTAGATTTATAGAAAACTAGAAAGATACGTTAATCACCCAGTGTAATTAACAAGACGTCTAACGCCGGTAGCCTTGTCAGATTATCCCCCCCCCCTTGCTCCTGGTAGAGCGGGGGGACGGGGGGAGGGGAGACCTTCAGACCTCTGCAGCTTACCCTTGACATTGAGGTAGGGTGTAATGGTTGCAGGTTTATGGTAAATCTAGTATGCAGGTGTTTTATTTATATTATGCTAGCTTTCTGCCTGTGGCTCCATTATGAATATCGGGATGAAGTCTGATAAATTCCACGCTATTAGGCCTCGTACATAAAACTGGCATGCGATGCGATGCGAATTCGCAACGCAGAAAACTACGATGCTAATTGCTGCGATGCGATTTCCTGCGACAAGGCGTCTCCCAGGCTGACCATTCCTTCGACGACTGTCAACCGTACTAAACGTATTTTAAATTGAAAACTAGGTCGTGACATGGATAGTAAAAAGAAGTGTGCACTTCTGTTATTGCTTAGAAGATACAGGAAAAAGAAACAAAGAAGATTTTGGGAAGATTAGATTTTGATGCGCGATGCGAATCAATTCGCAAGTTCTTGCGATGCGTAGAGGGAGCTAGCGCATTTTTGCGATGCGACGTCGCCTCGCAGTTTTGTGTGCGAGCCCTTATATAAAGCCGAAGAGTTTGTTAGTGTGATGGGCCGGCTTGACCGGAGCGATACCACGGCCTCACAGAAACCCGACGTGAAACAACACTTGCGTTGTGTTTCGTCGTGTGAGTGAGGTTACCGGAGGCCTAATTACCTCCCCCTCCCCAATCTCCTGAATCCTAAATATCCTCAAATTTTTAACGCTCAAAGGTCGGTAATGCACTTGTAACGCCTCTGGTGTTTCAGATGCCTATGGGTGGGACCGATTGCTTACCATCAGGAGATCCGTCTGCTAGAATTAACCTGTGAAGTGTTGGAAGGCAGATATACGGGAGACAATGTGTTTTACATTGTGTCCCACTCTCATATATCGACAGCCTAGAGGTTAATTGGAATAAATGCTTCGACTTTGAGGTATCAGAGGTTTTCCTTAAAATATCTCTACTTACCCTGTTTCTGCTAAGCTGCGTAGTTTCCTCAGAGCTGGGGCTCTTCTCCACTTCAGTATTCTCCATTGTTGATATCACACTGAAATTCAGGACACATTATGTAAAATAAGCTCACCCCCTATTACATGGGACTCGTAACACAAATAGTGAAAAGTGAGTGTTACATTGTACAGTGGCATTAAGTGCCGTAATTTGCACCTTCGCCTACCCCTTTGGGGATAAAACGCGTGATGTTGTGTTATGTAAAATACTGACTAACGTACCTAATTCATAATTCTTTTATAAATTAGGTTAAAAAATCAGTCTCCAAACCCCTCTTTTTTAGAAGTCGGCTAATTAATATATTAACTGCTACTTTTGCTAAGTGTTACAAACATTTTTCTGAAAACCGCACCGAAATCGGTTCAGCCCTTTTGGAATGCTTATTTTGATGTGGTACAAGAGCGAAACTGTACGAATTTTCGATATTGAAAATCTCAGTCACATTTTTAAAGGAACCGGGAAAATATTATTTTATTATTTTAAACATTTCGGAGACCAAAACCAGAGACATACTTTCTTGTCAAAAAGTGTCAATTGTTTCTTCAGTATATCTTTACTTGAGAACAAATAAAAGGAGCCACTAGCGTTTTTTTCATATTCATTTCTTGATAAATATTGTCGTATCACTACATAGTATAAAACAAAGTCGCTATCCGCCGTCTGTCTGTCCCTATGTATGCTTAGATCTTTAAAACTACGCACCGGAATTTAATGCGGTTTTTTTAATAGATAGAGTGATTCTTAAGGAAGGTTTATATGTATAATACATGCATATTGCACCCGTGCGAAGCCGGGGCGGGGCTAGTGTCATATAAAAGGCAATTGACGCCCGAATACTGTAAGGCTTAATATTAAGTAGTACTTAAATATCGTGCCGTCTCTGTCATTTTACAAAGAATTTGTAGTGACAGCACTATACTTAAGCGCTCAATAGTTTTCGTGTTATTCATGCAACATCAGCCTTGAGCAGTTGACTACAACTATTTTAAATTGTTTTTTATGCCACCGTAAAGATCTCCGGCCACCGTAAGCGCGGGCCTGTTGACGGCGAGCACGGGTGGCTCGCCGGCGCATGTGTGGCGGTCTGATGGCTCAAACAGCCATCAGACCGCCAGACATGGGGCCCAATAGGGCTAACGGGTTACCGGGGCTATGTCTCAAAGTGCAGGAGTAGGAACGGGGTGGTTTTTAGTCAGTAAGAGTTTCACACTCCCTCCCGCCTCACCCAGGCGGGAGAAGACATTCGATGATTATTTCCCCTTAAAAAAAACGGTGATTGGTGAGACCAGGGGGAGGAGGGTAATTGGGCCTCCGATAACCTCACTCATACGACTAAACACAACGCAAGCGTTGTTTCACGTCGGTCTTCTGCTCGGCAGTGGTATCACTGCGATTGAGCCAGCCTATTCGTGCCGAAGCATGGCTCTCCCACAATTAGAAAACAAAACAGAAAGAAGATAAAAGAAACATTAAATTCCTTACCAAAATGGAAATTAAACTTGATTTTAACATCAACTGCCGGCCTTTTTCGGAATCCTTCCGATTACACCCTGTGTAGAGGGTTCGACAAAAAAAAAGCGCTAATGACTCCGTTTGTCTGCTCTCAAGTCTATGTATTTTCTAATTAGTACTAACAAAAGACAGATAAAGAAACCAATACTAACCTTACAATCACTCTTTAGTACAATAATCTAAAACACTGTTTTTATTATGTAAAAGGGGGAAAAATTATTACTTATTTATTTATTTATGAGATTGGACCAACAGACTACCAACTAGAAGGCAACTATTCCACGTTACATCAAATTATCTACAGAGTTAAAGCCTCTTTACTCGAAAAACTTTTTCAAATTAAAAAAAGAATTCGCGTTCTTATGTTGGTAACTTATATTAAAAGTTTAGAACACAATATTCTTATGTTGGTAAGCTCGTATTTCTTTTTTATTTTTAGTTTTTTTATGACTCTTGCCGTGTGCGAACGTGGACGGGTGTTGACGGAGCGCATTTTTTTTTAATAAATTCGTTTAATTCAATATGGTTGAAATTTTGGAGAGTGCGCGGTTGTTTAGATGTAGATTTTTCGGTGCCACGGACGCCATATATCTGTAACAAATAGAAAATGTCATTATTAGATATTATAAGCATTATTTTCTTTTATAAACCATACATAAATTATCTAAAGATATCACACATGTCAATTGGGTACAGAGAGGCAATCGAAAGTCATATAAACTCTAATGTTTTCATTAACAAAGACAAAGGATTTAACCGATATATCAAAATCTTGCTCTTTTCGGTCGCAAGGAGCCCTTCAGTTTGCGTGAGTGAAGGAGAATCAGAACCAGAATCAGAATCATTTATTTGTTAAACATAGGTAGTTTACTTAATAAGGTCTTACATATAAAGATAGATTCTGATTCTGATTCTAAGGAGAACAAACACATAATCATAGTTCTAACTCAGAAGAGAGAGTAATGAAACATATACAGGGTGAACTTTTTTAACGCTACCTGAAGGGGAAGTACTCTTAACTCGTCGAGTACCGGTTTTGTAGACACAATTATAGAACAATAGGTTGCGGTCACCGGTGACCGCTTGGTGTTTGACAGTTTAATACTTAAGATAGAAAATTTTACTTAAAGAAAACATTCCTTTAGATTTGAAAAGAAAGAAAACTGTTTTTCTTTCATTTAACTTTTGAAGTTTGTTAGAGAGATTTCGTCCGAATTGACCCTAACGATTGATGCTGTAAAAGTACCTACAGGGTGCAAACATTGACAGATTTTAGTCGGTTCGATGACCATTAGCGAGCGGCAAGCGAATTTTAAAAAACCTTTTAATGCAGTTATCTTTCTTTTTAAAATAAAGGAAAGTTTTCTTTGAGTAAAATTTTCTATCTTTAGTATTAAGAGTACTTCCCTTTCAAGTGGCATTACAAAATTCCACCCTGTATTTCACAACCAGTTTTTTATGACAGAGAAAATCATGCAATGTCCGCCTCGAGTGAGGCGAGAGGGAGTGTCAGACTTTTACTACTACACCACCCAGTTCATACGCCTGCATAGAGCCGGAGCCACGACAACCCGTTAATTTATCCGTAGCTTGGGATTTTACAATCAACTATAGTCAAAAATCTATAAAACAACAACATTATCGCCTATAAAACTAATTAAAGACAATATAAAGTACTCGTTCCGAATTACCCGCCGCAATTGGTTAGTAAACTGAAGCCTAATAATTACAGTGACTCAGAGACTTAGCGGGTGACGCATTGTAGGCTTAAACCTTAGCCTTTTTACAGAAGGTAGTAAAACATACTGATCAGTACAATGGAGGGCTCGTACACAAAACTACGATGCGACATCGCAACGTAAAAATGTGCGAGCTCCCTCTACGCATCGCAAGAACTTGCGAATTGATTCACATCGCGCATCAAAATCTTATCTTCTCAAAATCTTATTTGTTTCTTTTTCCTGTATCTTCTAAGGAATAACAGAAGTGCACTTCTTTTTACAATCCATGTCACGACCTAGTTTTCAATTTAAAATACGTTTAGTACGGTTGACAGTCGTCGCAGGAATGGTCACCCTGGGAGACGGCTTGTCGCACGAAATCGCATCGCAGCAATCCGCATCGTAATTTTTGCGTTGTGAATTCGCATCGCAGTTTTGTGTACGAGCCTATAGTCAAAATTTTAAGTGTCTTGCTAAATAAAAATTATGAAAAAAAATTGACACAATCGTAACGAAATCGTATTAAGAAATGTTTTCCACCACTTATGTTATCAAGGTTTGCTCCCGGCCTCACATACACTGGTTCACAGGCACACCTTAATAATGATTAGGTATCATACATTGATTTTTTGTTTCCTAACTGAATTTAATTGTATAGTAGAGTGAACATAACATCATAACATCACGCCTTTTTATCCCCGAAGGGGTAGGCAAAGGTGTACATTACGGCACTTAATGCCACAGTACAATGTAACAGCCACTTTTCACTATTTATGTTATGAGTCCCATGTAACAGGGGGTGACCCTATTGTCATATACCGGGCACATTTCCAGACTCCATGCTACTACTGAAATTTTTTTTACTACTTTGCCCCAATAATACTTTGACCGACCCGGGAATCGAACCCGAGACCCCTTGCCCGGCAGTCGCACTTGCGACCACTAGTAGAGTGATTAATTAGTTATATTGTTATTTACACTAAAACAATTTTTTAGCTTAGCGTATTCCGCTTGTGAGTTTCCAGTTTAATAAATCTTTAATGTTACTTATTCTTGTATTATTTAAAAACAATATGAAAATGAAACCCGTTTCCCGTTGTCACGCCGATTTTGTTGTGTTTGTTATTGTCAGGAGAAGGTTCTTATGACAGAAAAAAAACGAAACGGAATTGCGCGTACGAGGTCGTGGGCAGTAGCTAGTTTAACAATAATTATGCAGAAATAATAATATGTATAATTTAGATAAACACTGTTCAACATTATCTATTATGTTTGTAAATTTAGTATGAAATTAGGTTAAGTTTTGTTTATATTAAAACTTTCGTGAGTCATACTAAATTCATTAATATGTTTTCGGCTTACTCACGTAACTGTTTGACGAGGAACTCGACTGGTTTCAAGCCATGCTAGAGGCTCATATTCATGAGCAGCATTACGCTTAGTTTTAGTAGCAGCGCGACAGTCGCCGCGTCGCGGGTCGCGACAATCTGTTCAGTCGGACAGGCGGACAAAACATAAAGAGACAAATAAACTTACTAGCATTAGTAACATTATAGTCAGAATTTTAAATAGATTACAGATTTGACAATAGCTACTGTCATTTTGTCAAATAATGATACCACATATAATAATAGTGTAGTGATGAACACAAAAATCGATAAACAATCAGTGTGTGTGTTTTATAATAAATGTTACAGAAAGTGACAGGATAGCGATAGCGATGACGGCGACAATTTATAAAATAACTTGTTACCATAATACATCTATCTGTTTTATTTGTCATGTTCCTTCATGATTAGATTTTTTTTATTTATTTCACACACAATTTTAAAAGAAAAGTCATCAAAACTAAATTATCGGTTCAGAAATATTTAATTTTCTGATATACTTAGTTTACGAGAGTAAAATTATAAACGAGAAGAATCGATCAAGAAATATTGCATTTCCATATCGAATAATTTCGCAACGTCACTATTTTAGTACTTGTCATAACGTTGCAACACTGAAATTGTCAAATCTGGAATCGAATTAAAATTCCGAGTATAGTTAGGCTACCGTCACATCATAGTGTTTAAGCGGTAAAACTCGCCTTATTGTACCCGCCAGTAACTTATGTAAGCCGGAACGAAATGCGGCAATCATTCACCTTTATCGAACGATCTGTCGCTCGACTCCAATGTCGCACGACACGTCATTTCTAATTACACGTTAAATGATAATTAGATTTGTTGTAATATGGGATTTTTTTATTATTAAGGAGTTTTTTTAACCATTGTGGTGGATTGATAAAGCGTTATGATCGCATGAATCTTAAACAGTTCATTCACCATTATCATTTAATTTTATTAACGCCATCCTATTAACTATAAAAATACAAATCGATTGATTGTTTTATAAAACGTTGCCCCACACTAGGATTTTCTCGTCGTGAGTGCGTTTACAAACATACAAGTTCACACAACAATTTGTGGAACACACAAAGGATTGCTCCGTGCGGGAATAGAACCCGCGACATGTTGCACGGCAGCTAGTTACGCATTAAATATCCCATTCCTAATTAACATTTCACACGATAAACCCACCCACTTTCATTACCCATGCCGTATATCAATGGAATCGGTACCGTCCGTAGCCATGACCAAATGTCACGGCCGCTACATCAGATGCTACGGGCTACGACAGTGAGTCACCGGATTGAGGCATATTAACCATAGTGCAGAGGTTAGTTTCAGCGACCCTGGGTGAAATACGGTAGTAGGTTTGTTTTTGGTTAGGGTTAAATTGGATTTTTATACATAAACTACCTTCTGCCTGCGACCTCGTATGCATAATCCCGGATATCCCGTTCCCGTAGGATTTTCAGGAAATCCTTGGATAAAAAGTATCCTATGTATCCTAATTCTAAGCAAGGTAGCTTGGTGGCTGGGGTAGCCCTAGCAATAATACCTAAAAAAACATATAATTATGTAATATCTAACAGCTACGCATAACATTGACTACGGCGTAGCTTAATCGTAGCAAGTCGAGCGCGTAGCCCGTAGCTCGTAGCGTAGCACAATAATTTTCACTGACTCATTGTTCAGTAATGTCTATGTAAACTGTTATAGAATAAAAATTTTGATTAGTATCATAAAATTATGCTTTCTGGGAACTTTTGGCAGTCTGCTAGATGATGTATTAGTAAAACTGTTTTATTGTTAGTTTGTTTCTTATTAATAACTAGCTTTTACCCGCAGCTTCGCACGCATCACCAAAAGATAAAAAGCCTATGTGACATATGCTAATACACACAGCGCCATCTATGCTAATAATTTCGGTTTCCCTCTAGATTTTTTCCGGGATAAAAGTACCCTATTATTTAATCCAGACTTCTAACTTTTTTATAGCTAAAAAATTCAAAGCAATCGGTTTAGTTGTTACGGCGTTAAAGCGGAACAAACAAACAAACTCACTTTCCGATTTATAATATAAGTAAGGATATAGTAAGGATTCATAGAATTAAATTTATATTTTCATATGGAGATAATCATAGTGTGTATAAATAAAACAATCATAACACGATGCATATTTCAAATGCAAGACCAACGTTTGTTATGATAACCAGTTAATAATAGTAACATTTTAATGATGACCATGGACTGGAAGACGTAGTCTCGCACGTAAACATATATCTATACTAATATTATAAAGCTGAAGTTAGTTTGTTAGTTAGTTGTTTGAACGCGCTAATCTCCGAATCTACTGATTCGAATTGAATAATTCTTTTTGTGTTGGATAGCCCATTTATTAATCAAGGCTATAGGCTATAAAACATCTCGCTACGACCAATACGAGCCGAGCAGAGCGGGTGAAACCGCGCGCATGTAGCTA